ATAAGCAGCATATTCCTCATTTGTCCTAAAGAGAGTTCAGCCAAATGCTTAGCCAACTGAGGTTAGCTCAGTGTTTTCTTGCAGCTTTGCTGAGAGTGGAGACAATTCTGTACGACTTAGTTTTGAGGGCCTTGGAGGGGCAGGGATAGATAGCCAGGATTGTTCTTCACACATATGTGAAGTTCATGTATGACACACCTGGGCATCTAAATTCTATATCCAAAGAAGTGAGAATCAGGAGATTGCTGGCACTGGGGTAGATTTCATGTTGTTGTAACAAAATAAAAACAGGAATTTATATCTGCACATAATGCTTTCATAAGCTTTTGTAGGATATTTATAGATTTACAAATATTTTCTATTATTCGCATCCGTCTGTCTTGGGAGACAATGGAGGAGCGGACCTTTGGGGGATGAAATTGATTATTTATTGGTATTCATCATACAAATAATGTGTAGAAGTATTTATAGGGTCTTATATAATGGAGAATATATAGGGTTCTATCTAATCCTAATCCTATACAGAGTAAACACATTGAAATTAATGAACCTTAGCCATGTCTACAGTTGGTCTGTTCTGTGGAAGACTAGCAGTGGGTCCCACATTATGCATTTACATGTTGTTGTTTTTAGAGAGCGTTTCCAGTACAGTGGTATCTCGGGTTAATTCGTTCCGGAGTTCTGTTCTTAACCTGAAACTGTTCTTAACCTGAAGCACCACTTTAGCTAATGGGGCCTCCCACTGCTGCCACGCCGCCGGAGCACGATTTCTGTTCTCATCCTGAAGCAAAGTTCTTAACCCGAGGTAATATTTCTGGGTTAGCGGAGTCTGTAACCTGAAGCGTATGTAACCTGAAGCGTATGTAACCCAAGGTACCACTGTATATATTTCAGGCATATCTAAAATCCAATTGAATACATCACTGTATATTTAAATAGCAGCTGGAGGAGAAGTGGGTAGAACAGCTGTGATTGGAGGGGAAGGGCCATAGCTCAGTGGTGGAGCATCTTCTTCGGATGCAGGAAGTTCCAGGTTCAATCATTGGCACTTCCAGGAGGGACTGGAAGAATATCCTGCCTACCCTGGAGACCTGCTGCCAATAAGTGTGCACAGTACTGAGCTAGGTGATGCCATCAGTACTGAGCTAGGTGATGCCATCAGTTTCCAGGAACCCTCCTCTTTTTGGGATAGTCTGTAAGTTTGTAAGAACCAGGGTCAATGGGCAGAGTCTTGGGTGAGAGCCAGGAGGCGGAGAAGGGACAGTGAAAGAAAGAGAAGGAACCGATATTGGTTTATATTTATCAGTAATTGGTTTTCATTCAGCATTTGTGCATGTAACTGTATTTTTGTAACATTTGTTAAGCCATCTGTTGTTGCTTTAGTTTTCTGTACAATGCTTATATATTACGTGGTAAGAAAGGGTCTAAATAACTTAATAATATGAAAATTATAAAAATATAGCATGGAGAATTCATGGGGGATGACTACCATGGGTCGTCCACACCATCTTGTTTTGCTGAAAGACTTTCTGAATAAGATCAGAACAACTACATCCAATACTAATACTTCTACCAGTAATTATCTGCTATTACTACCACCAATATTACTTCGGCTACTGCGATCCAGCATCCTCTGAGTTCCAGGAAACGCCAGGCAAGATATTTTAACAAGTTGTGCTGAAATGCAAATCATGGCAGGTTTATGATTCAGGTTGTGTTTTCTTTAGTAGGGTGTTGCTGAGTTGAAATAGAGAAAAATAAGGGCAGACCAGCAGCTGTTAAATATCAAAACCTATACGTTTTAGAGGCCAAATAACCCACAAAGTTCAGCCTTAACAACTTGTTATTATGTGACTGATTATTCATCGGCTCGACAAATCATTTATTGATCTCCCTCCCCCACCCTGTTCTTTTACTCCTCTGATGTTATCAAGTTCTAAAGAATAATTACTGGCATAATCGTTACCCGAGTTGTTATGAGGATTGTAAGGCCTTTGAGTTAATGCATGGCATATGTCCGCGGCATTCAGCTAATTCACATATCTGTCTGCACTATTAATAGAGAAGGTTACATGCCGATTATCTAGGGTTCAGTCGGCCTGCTTAGGGTACAATAGCTGCAGTGTTCACGTACTTGATGAGCAACATTCCACACCGACATTATAAGCAGCTGGTCTACATAAGATCCGAGTTTTAATACTTAGGCATTGATCTTCCCAACCTGGGCTGTGATCTTGATTGGATCACCTCCATCTCCTGCACCGCCCAGGTCTATAAATAATGACTCACAGGTAGCATTACCAAATTCAGTGGGATTTACTCCTTGGTAAACATGCATAGAATTGTAGCTAGAAATTGCATATATTTTAAAGTCTGGAACAATGGCATGATCTTCCCCACCCACCCTGCCCACCAAGGTAATGCATCATCTTTAAATGATGCTTAATACCCACCCACCCCTGAATGAATAAATAATAAAATGTTTGTTGCATCCTGGTTTTCCTCTGCTTGTTGAAAGCACAAACTATTAAGGCTTGTTTAAAATCCAGGAGAAGATTATATACCAGGGAATAGGTATAGAAAGCCCTTGCTGTGTTCCTCCACCGCACTTCATGTTGTAAACAAATTATAGGCAGGACTGTGGATTCTGCCTGCTGAAAATGAGGCATGCATCTGTTCCCATGGAGATATTCCCTCTCTGAGTCAATCAGTGATCATCACACAATATAGGCTGTCACTGCATTTCTCGAGGCAAAGTGCACACACATTGTTCTGATTTGTATATTTTTGGTAACATTTGCAAAAGTTCAGACAAATTCCAGAAATAAAGCAAAAAAATAGAGAGGGGGGGTCAGCTCAGGTTTGCTACACCCCCACGAAACAGCTCGAAGATTTGCAAGTGTCCACTTTACCTATTCTCTGGAAAATAGAACCGCAGCTTTGCAGCTTTCTGTGTAACTGGTTTTGCTCGGCAGAACTGGTACAACTGTGGAAAAACGGCAAGTCTTGAGAAATATCTACCAAGAGTTTGGAGCAGGAGGCATCAGTCGTTATCTGTTTATTATGCCCTTCCTCAAAGGAAATCAGAGCAGTTTAACATCACAGTAACCCTTCAAGGTAGGTTAAGCTGAGAGAGAGAGAGACAGACAGACAGACAGATTTGCCCATGGCAAAGAGAGAGTGATTTAATTAATGAAGGTCCAAGTATGTGCTAGGCCAGGAAAAAGGGACAGACATAATTTTGCATCATAAGAACCACATTTGCTTCTGGGGCCACATGTTGGGTAAGGGTAGGGAGCCGAAACGTGGATGAAGCATCTAAGCTGACCGTTGATTTAATCATCCCCAAGGAGATCATTTGCTTCTTGCTTTTTGCATCTTGTCATTTAAGAACTTCTGTGAAGTAACAAATGGTTCACCTTGACCTCTGGTATTAGGATAGCTTTTTATTTTCCCCTATGTTGCTCAATGGTAGAACAGCTGTTTTGGAGGCACTCTAGTGGCTGGGGCAACCCAGTCAACGGGTTGCATATGAATAATAAAATTATTATTATTATTATTATTATTATTATTATTATTATTAAGGTCCTGCATTGAATCCCCAGCATTTCCAGGTAAGGTTGGGAATGTTCCCTTCCTGAAAGCCTGAAGAGTGGCTGCCAGTCAGTGTAGACAATATTGACGAATACTGGATGTACCAGTGGTCTGTCTTGATATAAGAAAGCTTCCTCTGTTCCTAGGTTCTCTTCCAATTCAGCCTCATTTCAATCTGAAACATAGACTGCTGGGGGGTCAAAGAGGCATTTTGTTCATATAAAATGGCAGGCAGAGCAATAACAGTGTTTGGGAGGGAACGGGCTCAGCACTTTGAATAAAAGAGATGGCACGAAGCTGAAAAGGACACTGACAGTATGGGTTGCGTGATTAAGTAACTACCTTCACTTAATGAAGTCACTCTAGTATAACCAGCAGCAGAGGAAAGCTGTAAAGTAAATAAAGCTAAACTCTCCAGGCTTGAAGCTGAAACCCGCCTGGCCTGTTTTACAACTTCTCACTAAATTGCATTTACATCCCTACATGGGGGAGGCCGTTTCACTTCTCTGAACTGTTGGGCTAGAACAAAGAAATCTGATCTCTCCGAATCTTCCTGGAGCCAGCCCAGCAGAAGGAATAACCTTTGAAAGGACTGAGGAGAGAGAGAGAGACTACAGGGAAGAACAAGGCAGCGTATAAAACTGGGCAGATGAGATGGTTCAATAACTAGATCTCGGCCTCGGTACATTGTGTGTCATTTAAAAAGAGCAAACCAGAAGTATCCCCGTGTGACTTTTTAAAGAATGGATGGTGCCTGAGTTTGTTTCCTCTCCCCATTCATTTTCTACTTTTGTTTCATGTCTTTTAGATCAGAATCTACTGGTACGTTTTGAAATAAATAGGTAACGGCATCTGACTCCCAAATGTTGAATATATACTACTCAGACATGCACACATCCTGAAAAATAACAGTGTGGGGGTGGATGGGAAGGATAAACCAGGAGGGGATCTTCATGTAGGGAGTTTTGTTATGGTACTGATTGCAAATTCCTGGACTGGGCATGTGTACAAAGTTCCCCGGCCCCCTCATTCTCAGACACTGGGCATGTGGGAGTTGTGTTCTTAGATTGTGTCATGTGAATGATTGTGGTGATACTACATGTGAGGCCTTTTTGTCAGGTGATGTTTATTCTTTTCCAAGATTGCATTTTGATGCTGTTATCTTGGTGTGTTTTGATGTTTTGCCCATGATTTTCTTTAGTGGCATCAGTTATTTTACTGATATACCATTATTTTACTTTTGCACATTCTTTTGAGGTACTATTGCTTAATTACTTGAAATGTGGAAATAATAATTAACGGTAGTATAGCTTATTATTGACTGGAGATGTGAACCACTCTGAGATTTCTGTTGAAATATAAAGTGGAACAACAACAACAACATCCACCCAAAATAAAAAAAATTCCTTCCAGTAGCACCTTAGAGACCAACTAAGTTTGTTATTGGTATGAGCTTTGGTATGATAATATCTGAAGAAGTGTGCATGCACACGAAAGCTCATACCAATAAAAAACTTAGTTGGTCTCTAAGGTGCTACTGGAAGGAATTTTTTTTTTATTTTGTTTTGGCTATGGCAGACCAACACGGCTACCTACCTGTAACATCCACCCAGCCGAGCCATTATTTGCACCTGGCACTGTCAGGACCCTAGTAGAATAAGGTTACCAGATTTTTTTCAATGAATCTGGGGACACTTTCCAACTTCAATAGATTTTGTATGGGGACTGATTTGTAAATCCGGGGGCTGTCGCCGGGAAACGGGGACATCTGGTAACCTTATAGTAGAAGAAATAATGAAGTAGATCCCACAAGTGTGAAAGTCCCCCCCCCCTTTCAGACAGTAACCCTGAGGTGTAGGGACTGTTTTGTTTTTACTAATCACATGTCAGTCATTCTGTAAGCCTTTTGTGGTTAACCATCAGGGTCAAAAGGCTTTAAATAAAAGTGATAATAAATAGGACTTCTCAATCTGTCAATTTTGCTATGAAACATTGCAGGGAAAAGCTTATCAGCTGGGTCTCTCATCTCCATTGGAGGAAAATGGATCTAATTAGCCCCCCCCCAAAAAAACCCCTTCAGTTCCCATATTCTTGAGGTGACCCGTGAAAGGAGAAGCATATAATCTCATATCGTTTCTATCGCCTTCCCTCACCCTTTCCCTGAGAGAAAGTGTTATACAACCAAAAAAAAAAAAGATATGGGAGAGAGAGGAGATGAGAAAAAATGGCCTCCTCCAGTTCAAAAATGATCAGTCATGCTGATGCCAAGGCCTCTGTACAGCATCCCGCACCAGCTTATTAAAAGGGAAGACTTCATGAGCAATTCTCTGTCAACCATGTCTTTCATTCCCAGCCTAAATGCTCATAATCGGATAGTGACTTCATCAGCTTGAGGTGTGGTATACGGCTTCCATATGTTTCTTGCTCAGAAGACAACCCTTTAGGGATGCATTTGAGGAAAGGGGAACATTTGAGAGAAGGCAAGAACTGATATTCTATCTTGTATGGTGGAAATATTAATTAAATTGGAATAGCAAAACACTGAATATCTGTAATTCAGGAGACTTGGAAAGAGGGAGGCGTTATATTGGTCTGAATCCAGAGTTCCCTGGGAAGAGGGATTGGCAGTTAAATCCCTCTGAGAATTGTGGCTTTGTGAGGAGGGGACTGGAGGTCTCCTAACAACTCTCAGTATCCTTAACCAACAACAGCTCCCAGAATTATTTGGGGGAAGCCATGACTGTTTAAAATGGTATCAAAGTGCTTTAAATGTGTGCAGATTCTGAAGTTCAGGTGCTCACCATGACAAGTCCAATTGCCACGCCTGTTCTAAGACTATCCAAAATGAATTTTTGACCAGTGCTAACATAACAGTTTCAGTGCCCATACCAGGTTTTCTCCTCGCTTTGCTTAAGGGTGCTGGGAATTGTAGCTCTGAGGGGTAAGCTACAGTTCCCAGGGTTATTTAGGGAAGTTGTGCGCTGTACATGTATGATATGAATACAAACTCCAAAATGTCCTAGCAGAGTGGGGATTTCACCAGATACTGACTACTACACTTTGACTACTACACCAGATACTGCCTCTGTTGTATCACACTGGCAATGTTTATTAGGTTGACCCTTTATATAAAATATTGTAAGTGCACAGGGTAAAAGAAGATGTGAAGGGGGGGGGAGGTTGGCCCTTAAAAAATGTTTTTTTAAGGTTGACACTTTAAAAAATATCATTTAAATAGTCCTGTTCCTGTGTTTTTAGCAGCAGCCAGACCCGAATAAATAAGTGGGTGCAGGAAGCATTTTGTGGGTGCTTTTCTCCTGGAAGTAGGGAAATGCTACATAAAATCAACTTCTGTGTGCTAGATTGCTGTTAATAGCGCAGGAGCAGGGTCAGTAAAAAAGGTAGCAAATGTAGCTATTAATCAAAAGTTTAAAAGCAATAGCATGATTTATAGAACAGAGGAAGTGCAATGCAACTTGAAAGTGAATTTGAAACTGGATCGCTTTTCACTGATTTAAAAAGTGAAACGGGATCAGATATCATGCACACGATCACAAGTCAAACATTAACTAGAAGGGGTGAGGACATAGTGGGTGGGATAGGGAGAGTAAAAAAAAAACCCAGAATCTTAAAAAAAAATAAAAGGGCCAATGCATTGCCTTGTGGGCCATGTGCATTCAAGCTGAGAGATAAAATCTGTGAGCAAAACAGTTATTGAAGTAGCACACAGACACAGAAATAGTTTAGTGGCTGAAGTTCCTTTAGCAATTCTATGACATCCGTGTGCCATCAAAGGAGGAAGTGGGAAACAGAAGAAAGACATTAGTCAACATTAAGAAAGAAACTACACTAAAAATCGCCCTGAACTTCAGTGCAGGAAAAGAACAGAACAGAACAAGCAAGTCAGGCATCTATTCCCTAGGGTGAATGTACTGATATCACAGTTGGAAACTTTCATAAAGGACAGCAAGTCTGGGTGGTATAGTGATTAAACTAGGCACAAGTAAACATGCTGAGGGATGCACTGTTAATCTTTTAAATACTTGTACTAGTCACTATTGGCAAGTTGGGTTAAAAGTAAAATAACACTAAGGCCCATGCAAAATGTTTTGGGTTATAGCCATTGATATTCCTACTGAGAGTAGAAATTATTGAACCTAAGTTAGTAATGTCCATTATCTCTGAGTGGGACTAGTATTGGTGGCAACCTTTTCATTTCCAAACTAGCTATATTTGGTACAATACTTTCTTTTGCCTCTGCTAGGTTAAAAGGAAGCATGCAAATCAGTTTCATTGGAGAAGAAGGCACTAACACATATACTGTACACAGAAATACATATACACAGAGGCCATAAGGTTCCTTGCTCCCATAACCTGGTTAGATTACTGTAATGCACTGTGATGGGGCTGCCCTTGAAGACTATTCAGAAGTTGCAGCTGGTGCAGAAAGGGGCTGCCAGACTCTTGACTGGCTTAGCCTACTACATAATAACTGTTTTTATAATAATAATATAATAATTTATTATTTGTACCCCGCCCATCTGGCTGGGCTTCCCCAGCCACTCTGGGCGGCTTCCAACAAAGATACTACATTAAAATACATTTTAAAGAGTGTTGAACTCAGGTTCTGCTTAAGTAAATTCCTTAAGTATCTGGTTGGCCACTGTGAGAACAGGAAGCTGGACCTGGTGCTCCTTTGACCCGATCCAGCAAGATTCTTCTTACATTCTTAACACAATGTTCTTTGTGGTGAGTAATATTATGTAAATCCCTAAGTGGCTTAGGACCAAGGTATATGAAGAAATGCCTCTCCCTGTATTATTATAGAGAGCCAGTGTGGTGTAGTGGTTAAGAGCGATAGACCCGTAATCTGGGGAACCGGGTTCGCGTCTCTGCTCCTCCACATGCAGCTGCTGGGTGACCTTGGGCCAGTCACACTTCTCTGAAGTCTCTCAGCCTCACTCACCTCACAGAGTGTTTGTTGTGGGGGAGGAAGGGAAAGGAGAATGTTAGCCGCTTTGAGACTCCTTCGGGTAGTGATAAAGTGGGATATCAAATCCAAACTCTTCTTCTTCATCCTGCCTGGGCTTTAAGTTCTTCTGTGGTTCCATCCCTGGACAATGTATATTGTTCAGCTACACAGGCGAAGGCCTTTCCATGGTGGTAGCCTGGCTTTGGAGTGCTCTCCATCCACAATCAAAACTGGTGCTGACTCTGGTAAGTTTTAGGCACCTCCTACAAAACTTACCTCTTTGTCCAGGAGGTATTTTGTAGGGAGTACTCGTGAGGAGGTGAGGTTAGGGTTGACTTATTATTGTGGGATGTAAAAGCTTTTTAAAGTTTTAACATTACTATTTAGCGGTTACTATTGTTTGCATCACATTTGTGATTGTTTGTGAGGAAGGGTGGGATATGAATTCAGCAAACAAATGCATACATGACTGGGATTAATGTGCAGGATCCTTCACACCCAAATGTCACCAGTGATTTTGACACATGGAACTGCAGTGACAATCGGTGGAACTGACAATTCTGTTCATCTTTCACTTCCAAGTCAGGTTGCTCTCCCTGTTTTAAATTGACAGATCCTTCTTGAACACCTAATGCTTTAAAACTTTTAATTACTTCTAGGTCTAGCACGTGTTGTTGTTTTTAACTGTCTGTGCTCCTCTGCCATTAATCATAATGAATGCAGTAGATACTCCAGCTTCCTCTATTTGCCATGGACTCTCCTGATATTATGTCATGAGACACACTGTCCCAGCGTGTTGTTCAGACATGCTGAAGCCAAATATTGGGCTTCTGCACCCTCTCTTACCGTGGCAAGAGATTTAACTATGAAATGTCAGTGCAGGGAGGGCAGGGCCATAGTTAATGCGATGAATGCTCAACAAAGAGATCATCTAGAAGTGATGAGTGAGGGTTTCCCCCCCTTTACCCCACCTTATAGTTTCACATCTTGACCCAGAAGTATAAGGGATTCTGCATGATGGTCTCTGCAGATGTGCGAAAAGGCTAAATGTGGGAGCTAGCAAGCGATACTGAAGAAGTAAGTCACTCCTGTGTGGGATAGCTCAGTTGGTAGAATATGAGGCTCTTAATCTCAGGGTCATGGGTTCAAGTTCCACATCAAGCAAAAGATTTTTGCATTGCAGAGGGTTGGACTAGATGATCCTTGGGGTCTTTCCAACTCTAGAATTATGTGATTCTATGTGGCAATGTAAGTGGGATGATGTTCGGGTTGGCTTTCAGGAACGTACGGAACAATACCTGGAGGAGCTCAGATTTATAAACTATTTTTGGCAATGTGTTGTTGGAACAGAATTATTCTTGGGTATTTCAAGTCTTAAAAAGCAGAGACATCACCTTGCCAACAAAGGTCCGTATAGTTAAAGCTATGGTTTTCCCAGTAGTGATGTATGGAAGTGTGAGCTGGACCATAAAGAAGGCTGATTGCCGAAGAATTGATGCTTTTGAATTATGGTGCTGGAGGAGACTCTTGAAAGTCCCATGGACTGCAAGAAGATCAAACCGATCCATTCTTAAGGAAATCAGCCCTGAGTGCTCACTGGAAGGACAGATCGTGAAGCTGAGGCGCCAGTACTTTGGCCACCTCATGAGAAGAGAAGACTCCCTGGAAAAGACCCTGATGTTGGGAAAGAGTGAGGGCACAAGGAGAAGGGGACGACAGAGGACGAGATGGTTGGACAGTGTTCTCGAAGCTACCAGCATGAGTTTGACCAAACTGCAGGAGGCAGTGGAAGACAGGAGTGCCTGGCGTGCTGTGGTCCATGGGGTCATAAAGAGTCGGATACGACTAAACGACTAAAGAACAACAACAAATTCAAGTCAGTGTGCCTTTCTCTCCCCACCCCTCATTGATGTATAGGCATATGCAGGACACACTTTTCTTCCTTTGCTCTTCCCATGTCTCTCACACATGCACACCATCTTACTTGCTTTTTTAAATGTACATTTATAGTGAGATCTTCAACACTTCCAGATGCCCAGTTTGTTGAGTGAACGCTCTGAATACTCAGAACGAACACTCCGATTTGTGTGCAGGAGGTGTTGCGTCAAAGCAAGTGTTATCTTTCTAGAATCTAGTGTATCTTCCCATCATTTTCCTTATCTCAAAAAGTCTGTGTCCTTTTTTGGGCAAGCAGGCTTGTTGCACAAGACCTCCTGATCAACTACAGCTGGAATTTAATTGAATCCTACATGAAAAGTGTAGGAAATGGATAAATGGCGACTGTTTTTAAGCACCCCGAGTGCCTAAAAAGACTGCCTTGTTTAAGGAGACCCAACAAAAAAGAAAGCCAAGGGAAGAAGGGTGGGATGCTTAATGTTCTTTAAGCTGGATTTCCTCTGAGTTCTTCTCCCCAAAAGTGAAACCCCGTTTTTTGGCATGTGCATTCCAGGATGTCACATTTCAAAAGGGCCCCTTGTGTGGCATCTGTGTGTGCATCACTCAAGTACGGCTTTTGTCACTGCCAAGCTTGGGCATTGTTGCAGAGCAGTATGCAAATCCTGCTTAAAAATAGCTTTCAGGAAGAACTGATCAGTATTTCAGGCTTTGTCTAAGCTGCATTAAGATTTCCATATGATGAGGATTGAAAAAATAAATAATTACACACACACACACACACTTTTAAAATGCATCCCCTTTCTCTTTTCATAGCAATCCCTGGAGAGTATTCCCTCTAGTGGGTTGTCAGGCTTATATAATGGCTGCATCCCATGTGTGTGTGTGGGGGGGGGGGGCTCCTCCCGCCCAACCTCTCCTGCAATGGCAGTATATTGCTAAGGAAGTCCCTCATTAGCTCTTTGATCATATTTATAGAGAAACATGATATGAATGCCTTTTTCTTTTGGGTTGAGAGCTGATCTTTTTCTCCTACAATGCAAGTAGTTGATTTGCTGAGGAGCAAATACAAATATTTTCCCTCACTCAACTGCTGAAGTTTGCTCTAAGTAACATATTAGATCAAAGAAAATACAACAAGTAGAGATGTATGCAAAATCTCGTGTTTGTATTTTTAACTATAACTTAGTGGGGTTATTGTTGTTGTTGTAAAATCATGAATTAGCAACAAAAAAGCAGGTTATAGATAATTACATTAAATCATCAACTGCTTATATAACAATTGCATGTTATTGTATATACAGAAAGCATGTCCACCACTAGACTTGAACCTATGTGTTCATTGTAGCTATGATTTATCTGCTGTGGAAGTGGAGACAAAAGATAAACAAAGGTGAAAAGGGAGAGAAGGCAAAACCCCTTGTTTGAGATTTCTAGCAATTTGAATTGTAGTTGTGCTATTGTTGTTTTACACACTTTTCAAAGGCAGTTGGGAAAACGATAAAACAACAACAACACCGTGGTAGACATTTATTCTTGCTGACATCCTTTGGAAGGAAAAGCAAAACCCAGATGTATGTGTTTCTTCTTCCACATTTATTTCAAGATGTTGAAATATGTTTTTAAATTTACATTTATTTATTCCTTAGTTTTATTTCGATAAAAAAATCAATAAATATGCAAGTAATGCTCAGGCCGCTTCCATAAGAATAAGCATTGGATTTTGTGATACATTCCCTCCCTATATACGTAGCCGGCTCCCTGACATCCTCCTTCCGAAAAACAAAACAAATAAGAAACCCAGCCATTTCCGCATGACATTCTGCGTGTGTGTGTGTGTGTGTGTGTGTGTATACACCCCACATATAAAACCTTTTAATAAAATTCTCAGAGCAGTTTACAATTGCTTGTTTGTAACATGAAACAGGGTGAGATCTGAAGTTAGTCATGTCCAGAGTTTGGCCCATGGAAATCAAAGGCCTTAAAATTACTTAAATCCATTTATTTCAATGGGTCTCCTCTTAGTATGATTAACCTTCAATCTCCTACAGTTTAGCTGCAAAATGATTATAATAAATCACCCAATATTAAGGTGGAAAAACTAAAGCAGGCTAAAAGAGTAACAAAGACCATTATGGTAATACAAGAGACTGCCCACCTATCCAATTTCTTAAGGCTTTATCTGGTAAATTGTTGTAATCCGTCATTAGTCTGTGTGGTTGAGTTGGTGTTTTTAAAGCTATCTAGCCTGGTTGCCTTGAAAGAGTTCTTGCACTCTTAAACCTATTAAATAAGATGAGGGGAAGAGTAAATAGAATGGAATGGAATTGTTTAGTATTGATTAGCAGTGACAACATGAAAATGTGCTTAAAAGTGTAAACCAAAATTTAAAAAGGCACTTCTGTTTCACTTTTATTCTTCTTACATTTTGTTTTACTTTCTGCATCTCAGCTGCCAGGTTCTAAGATTGCAACAAGCTTTTCCAAGCTATTGATTCAATCAGAAATACTGACACAATCATGAAAAACATTCATTTTATTAGTGTCTCATGTGATAAAGTTTCACTGTACTTTTTATGGCTAGTTGCTCGGGGCGTTTTGGCCAAGGACTGAGAACTGAATAAATAAATATTTTTTATTACTTGACCTCAAAAGCATCTTTTGATCAATCCAGTGTTTTATAAAGGTTTGGCTCCCACCCGCCCGTTTCCTAATCCATAATCATGAAAAATATCTAATTTCCATATAGAAGTGATATCTTCCTTGGGTCATACTCAGTGCTGGAGCTTCTACAGTCTTGGGTCACAGGAATCTGAGAAAAGACTCTATTAGCATATCAATGGAACTGCCTCTCCAGGAGCCAAGATGGGAAGACAATATTTGCATCTCCATTTGTTAACAGTGCAAGCAAAGGCAGCTACTGCATCACCAAAATTTGTGCTTCATCTTATGACTGCTATTATTATTTTTTGAAAGAAAAACAAAACATCAAGCTTTACAGATTCTGAAAGCAAAAAAGGGTTATTCAGTAACTCTTAAATGGGTGAAGGAAACAAATTAACTGGTTCCTACAAGTTATGCTCCCTTAATAATGACCCCTGATTTGCTGTTGTTATTTAGATGACCATGGAGCTAAAAAGAAAAGAAAAAAGGGTGGCATCTTATCATTACTAGAAATGTCAGTATTGATTTTGGGTAATCTTTACTTCCAGTACTTTTTTAGACCAGCCAACAGCCCAAACTGTACATGGCTCAGAGTTAATTGATTTCATTGCATTTTCTTATGGTGCATAGTACAAATTTTAAGCGGAGGTGTTTATTTTGCCCAGTTTTTAAAAGGCTCTTAAGATTGTACAGTTCCAATCTTTGTACTGCTCCCTAGAGAGAATGTCTTTGATCATGTTTTTAGCCTGCCGTCATGCAACTGGACTTTAATGATCCTGAAATTTCCCCCCTCTCCTTTTCTATTAAATTTAAAATTAATGAATTAAATTCAAAAACTGAAAATATACACAAATTATATTGAGCATAAACAAATGCGTATCAGAAAAAAATCTACAATACTAAAATAACACAATTTAACAGAAAGTCCTTTAACCTATGAATAGAAGATCTTAAATCACTATGAATTTTTGCTTGAAAAACCATATTGCATTTGTCAGAGGCATCGTACAGTAATTAATTAAAACAGACTGGTTTGTGATCAGTGTATCTTTTTGCTGCCTTTTTTCTTTTAATCTTACAAAATGTGTGAGTTTAGCCATTAAGACAAATTCCCACATTTTTTTCTTACTGCACTTTTATCAAAAAGCAACAGCAGAGAGGCTTGTGGCACCTTAGAGACAAACATCTCAACAGTGTCATAAAGTTTTGTGGAGTCCAGCCCACTTTGGATGCATGGAGGACAGAATTGTAAGCTTGTAGTAGAATGGCAATAGATTCAAAAATTACAGCCAGTGAGAGTTATGTATGTATGTTAAATTGACACACCTTTTGCAATAGCAGGTTAGTGATTAATTTGCTTAGCATTGCTGAAATGATTGCATTAACACCTGCAGTGGTGCTATATTCACATAAATAGAACAGATCCTGGCAATGATAAGCTATTTAAGGCTACTGCTGCTGCTTCCTTGGCGACTTAGCCAAGTACAGTGTTACCTTGGTTTAAGAACAGCTTAGTTTATGAACAACTTGGATTAAGAATGCTGCAAACCTGGAAGTAGGCGTTTTGGTTTGTGAACTTTGTCTTGGAATAAGAACATGTTTTGCTTC